AGGCGCGGGCGCAGCAGCAGCAGCAGCAGCAGCAGCAGCAGCAGCAGCAGCAGCAGCAGCAGCAGAAGTAGATGCAGCCGCAGCCATAGCAGCAGCAGCGGCAGCAGCGGCAGCAGCGGTGGGGGCGGCAGCAGCGGTCGCCGAAGCGGCCATGAGCACGCGCGCCGCGGGGCGCTCGGCTCGACGACGGCGCTCAGGAACCGTGGTGGCCTCGCGCAAGGCCGGCGAAGAGAGCGCCGCCGATTCCGTGTCCTCCGCTAGATCACGACGAGAAGATCCCGCAGGGGGCGAGGAGTCGGAGGAAGTCATCGGTGCAGGGGTCGTCATAGCTTGGAGTGCTCTGAGCAGGTCCTCGTTGCGAGCTTCGCGAGGCGAACTTGTTCAAGAGCAGCTGCAGTAGCAGCATCACGTTCGCGGGCGGAAGAAGCATGGGGGGGGGGAGCGGGCACCGAGTTAGTCGAAGCTACAGCGCGCGCATTGCGAGCATTGTGACGATTATCACGAGCAATCCCCTCCTCTCGGTTACACCTGGAGTTGTTTCTGTGAGAGTCGAAGGCTTCGGTAGCGGGCATACTATTAATAACATCAGTAGCATGCACCAACCGAGCGCTTATGCTGGTGCCCCGAACAAGAACAACCAGCTGTGTTGTGCTATACGGTTAAAAGCAGGCGTATCACTACGCGCACCTCGAGAGGTGACGGTGGTCCGTAGTGCGACTGATCGTACATCAGGACAAATACTAGAGCCGCTAGGAGCAGACGAATCGCGAGACGTACGCGAAACAAGTGCAACTGCGGTGTGATGGCGGAATGTTCCACCGTCAGAAAAACTGACAGCCCCGCCAGCCGGTGCAGACGAAACAGGAAGCTCGTCACGCGGAATGGGAGCATTTCCTAGTGCAATGCACATCGGAGGTTCCTAGTGAGACTGAACGCACATCGGAAGGTGAAGGAAGGGCTCCTATTGCGACTGAACGCACATCAGACCGGTGGGTGGCTACTCGCGCGGTGGCCACCGCATCATCAAAAAGAACATTCTCAAACGGAGATGGAGATGTTCCGGTGGGGGTATGAACGGCATCAGCTGAACCAGTGGATGCAGCGGGAGCAGCCGCTTTGTGCACATACATCCTATGATGGGCAACAGCCGCATGAGCACGCTCATCCTCGCGAGAAAGGCGAGCGCGTCCGTCCTCAGCACGGAGCTCAGACAGACGCGTGGCCTCCTCGGGTGGGTCAGCGGTGCGAGCGCCATCAACATGAGGCGTATGCGCAGCAGCGCGGTCTAAAACGGCCGCAACTACTGACTGTACAGCAAGATCATCATGCGATGGGGTGCGCGACGCCATTGGCACGCCAGGCGAACCAGGCGGCGGGGCAGACACCGACTGCTGAGACCTATAGTTGTAGAGCCGTCGGACTCTATGTCGTCTCCGCCGTCCATACGATGAGGCATGCCAAGAAAGGAAGAAGCAACCAAGACCGCACGTTCTCAACCAAACGAAAGCAAATAATAGAGTTGCTCCCACGCTGACTAGACTACTGTAGAAAAAGAACAGCAACAAGCCTATACAGTAGGGAAAGCTAAAATCCTTTACTGCCTACACGCCAAATGCTGTGGGATTACACGTGAAGCGATCCCTGAAGGCCCTGATGATAACTCACTTGTTTACTAACCCCTTGGAACAGCAGTGCTTGCTGTTGCTTGGCTCTCAAAGGTAGACTGAGCGCAGAGGGGGGGAGGACATGTTTTGCGGGCCTGCACTGTTGTGCTGTGAGCGCTGATTTGAAAAAAAAATCAACCACAAACAGGATGCGTCAATCCAGCGAGACGTTGTCGGAAAGCTATCGACGAGACGGTTCCCACACCACCACTTTCGGCACCGCCACTCTTTGTGGTATGGAGCAATCGAGCTTTGGAAGTTGGTCCAGGGTTTGGTATCTTGTCTCATCTACGGTGCTACTGTAGGCGCACGAATCCCAACGGCCGTCCGTTCGTCGCAGAGGAGGAAGAGTCTCTTTCTATGTTGTTGTTGATGATGACTCGGATTCAAAATTCAACAATCGGGTGCACTCGCCACCGCAAAAAGCATCGCAGATACATAGACTACTGCAAGGTTGGGTCGGCTACTGTACCCCGCGGCTCATTACCCCGCCCTATCTACAGTAGTATAGTTGTACAACAATCCCTTGCCTGTCTCGAGTATGTATGTAGTCCGCGCACAATTTCTGGCCAGCTTCAACAGATGAAGCACACAAACCTCCGGCGAAAAAAGCAACCCACCGATCACCGACCCAATGTCTCTCTGTGTCCCTCACAGCAGTCACAGGGAAAAGATCCACTGCATATGCACATGGTCTGCTGTAGACAGAATTACATATGCCTACAGCAGAATGTAGTATAGTGCGCAGATGAGAGAGAGCATGCGACAAAGAGGCCTAAACTATGCATACGGAACGACTGACCTCATTCATATGAATATAGATGAGAAACAGGTCCATAATTCCGGGGGTCGACGCTCTCTTTTCTGTAGCCTCTTGCTCCAGCTTGTCGTCAGTTGTCTGTGGGAAAGATGGTGGTGGTGCTGTGTGACCTAAACAACGACCATTGGGTAGACATGATGGTGACATTACGGTATCCATAGGATAGGACGCAACAACGACCGCCCGCAAAGAAATATCATGTCGCACCATTGTGGCCTGATCCTTTGAGCCCGCCAGCCGTTGCTGCCCTCGCACTCGAAGATCTCTGAGAGACACAGAGATGGCTGGATAGGAGATAGGTGTGTCATGATGTCATGATGCGGGATGCGGGGCAAAAGGGAAGGGGGTCCGTGGTATATACGGTACACTCCGCGTTGCCCCATGTGCTTCACCGAACACCGCAACCGCCTTTTCCACTTGACGCGATGTGCTGACACATACACGGCTTTGGTGTAACCAGAGAGAGGGACGAGGACATGGGAAGACCTATCTTCATACTTGCTGCTTGCGCAGCAAGCGCCCGTGCCTTTGTGGTGAGCTTCTACAGCATGATTGCGACGGATGCGTGTGTTGCTTGAATTTAGGATACGAGTTGTACCTCCTGTTCTGAGCGCTCGCAGCACAACGGGGTGCCACAGCAGCTGTCATGTTGTCTCCACAACTTGCCGAAGTGATCTCCCTTGCTGTGTAACGTGTACCACGACATGGTGGTCTCTCGGAGCCAATCTGATCCCTATTCTGCGGACGCCACCTCTTTTCTATTGCAGACTACAGCACAGCTGGAAGGCTAGACTGCTGTAGGTCTGGCTGCTGGCTCTCTGATATAACGATTGGTTCAACATGACACACCTCAAGTCATCACCATTCCATACTCGAGGGGAAAACATGTTGTAACTACAGCCGTAGGTGTAGAACACCTATTTAGCTATATTAGCTAGGGTAGACCACGGACGGTGTATGATATACACTAGTCTATATACTGCTGTACATTGCCAAAGCTGCCGCACGTTTGGTTTCGGTTCGTTGCAACACAAAACACAACGCAACAACATTCCCATCAGAAAGCCCGTTTCTTTTTTCTTTTTTTTTCTTAATATGACACAACGAAACCATCTCTATCATAGAAAAGAGTCCGAGACAGATTAGCAATGGATTCATGGCGTCAGAAAGTACCTGTATGTCTACGATTTCCCAGACAGCATATAGGGACATCTCCCCTGCGGGTAACATCAATATGACAACAACGCTCCGCCACAAAACCAAAACATCATGAACAAACGTTCTATTTACCCTACCTACCTGTACGGCAGCAGGTTTACCAAAACAGCAGTCAACTTTGGGTTAAGTTCAAAGAGGAGCCCGGCCAAAGGCGGCTATGATCGTCCAGACTCCCTCCCTACATGTCTACAAGTCACTCTGTTGCACCGGGAAACCATGATACCATGGAACACCCATGTCGAATATTGTAGCCGGGTCGGCGCGCTGCTGTAGACTGCTGCTTCGTATTGTTACTTCGTATGTAGCATGCATGCATACGAACTCCTGTACCCTATGCATGTGTGCATTGTATTAAGCCCTGGCCCCTCAAGCATTCCTTAGAATTTGCTTGAGAGCCCGTTTTCGGGAGAGGGATGCTTGAGAGGGGTTTTTATGCCTGAGCGCTGCTGTTCCTCGCCAGGGATGTGCCCATTCTCCTCTCAGGCACGCGAAGCAACCAAGTAACAACGACGTTATGTCATGAACTCCGGGATATGGGGACACTTCCGGGGGGGGTATCGAAACATCCGCGGGGCCGCTATTCAAATTGCACAGCACACAGTTTTTGTACAGCTCGCACTCTTGTAGCACACAGCACACCACAGCCAGCACGCCGGGCGTGCACCAGAAAGGATTAGGAAGGACGTTCCGGAATAGACCACGGGGGGTGCCGGGGAGGAGGGAGGCGGAGACGACTACTGTAGGAAGCCTTGAGCAAGTTGGGAGTGCTTTTCAAACTACTAGTGCAGTTCAGTGTGACATGTGACGTCTGGAAAGAGCTAGCTAGGCTGGGCGCTAGTTGAATAATTACGGTAGGTAGCAGCTACCTCATGTATGGCTGTTGGATTTGATCTGTTTTTTTTGTCTTGGGTCGATTCATTTTCTTGTGGTCTTTGACCTGCTGCGCAGAGGACATCGTGAACTACATAGCTATAATAGCTCTTAGCCCACAGCACTCAAGAGTTATTCTCTATAGGGGTTTGCTGTGCGTCATGTTTTTTTACGCACCTACACTATACACTAGGAGAAAATATTGGACGTGGAGACCAAGACCCAAGATCTAAGGTCACAGACAATCAAGCACAGCAGCTAGTAGGAGCACAGGTTTCGACGGAGGAAATGGGTAAGGTGAAAAAATGAGTGTGACAACGAAACAAGAGGGACGAGGGAAACTTCTGCTATTGTTTCTCTATAAAGCAGTTCACACAACAAGGGTATCACAGTTTATTTCATCCCACTTTGTGTGCTGTGTTTACCCGTTTACCCCACCAAAGACGATATAGTGTGGCGAGAATAGCCCTCAGGCAAGTCTAAGGCACCTTCTCAGGTACCGTCAGGCATGAACTAAGGCATCTGAGGCAAGATTTGTCCTCAAGCAAGTCTGAAGCATGTCCCCAGGCACGCCTCAAGCAACAAAATGCACCTCAAGCAAGTGCCTTAACTTTTGCTTGAGCCCAAAAACATTTGCCTGCGGCGCTTTCCTGAGGCACGCCTTCGGCGTGCTTGAGGGGCCAGGGCTTACATGGCATCCTCAGGGACAAGGTTGCGCAACCGGCGCCTGCCAAATTGGCAACGCGTTGTGTTCTACTTCCTTCTGTAAGGAGTATGTTTACAAAAGCACACGAGGCTTGAGAGACGTGCGAACATGCTCATCAATGATTGGGAATGTGTTCGGGCGAAAAGTCTTCCTCTTGAACAACCTATAGTGCGCCGAAAGCTTTATACTCCGAGTGCTCTCAACCAAAGCTGCAAGCACAGAAGCACAGACAGATTCAACTCTAGCCTCTTCACCAAGAGCAAGTGGTTACATGGACCGTGCCGTAACTATTTAGTTGGGTACCTAAAGATCTGGCGTGGTAGCCCACACTTTGCAATTGAAATTTGGTGTGTACACCTTGCTTGCCAGTACAGCTGTGCTCATTTATATGTACAATAGCTCTGGTTCGCTTTCTAGAATAGAGGACATGCCCCATGCAGACAGCGGTAGCTGGTTCCTTTGTTGCTCGAGTTCGTATCCTGCCGTTGTTCTACTCCATTCTTGCCATTCTTGTACTTGCCGTATGCCGCAGTCCACACGGATTCCAACAGCATGGTCCCCAGCAGCCGCAGCAACAGGTGGAGGAGGGAACCATCACCATCCATTCTCCTTCTCCAACAGGGCTGCGGCATCGCCTCCGCAACTACATTACAGTAGGGTGAGCTAGGTTACTGATTGTTTGTCCTAAGTTTTTGGAGTATTGCTTACTTCGTCTGTTTAGGTGATTTTTGTAGAGTTGTTGTATATTGTACCATTGTAATACCTCGTGGTGCGGGGAGTGGGGTAGTGGCGCTCCAGGCAATGTGCGGCACGTGCTGGCTCTTGGCCTTGACAGTGGAGATGAAATTGTGGACGGAAGAGAGGGGGGAACTGGCTACTACTGTTGGCTACACGGACTTCCCTGCTCCGCGTAAGTCCCTGCAACAAATCTCAGTTGTTCGTAGGATCGACAGCAGTACAAGACTTCTAGAGCTGGTCTATGTTGATGATTGATCGATAAGGGGTACAGCAGCACAGTACAGTTTTGGGGGAAAACCGTGGAGGTTGGTTCTCCTGCCATTGTATCGCTATTGTAGCGTGAATATATAGCATGTCCCCCACGTGCTGCGTCAATTCATGCTTTCGCACACGGTTCTGGAAATATTTGTTACTTATCTGGCCGTTTTGCCCAGCAGGCCCGACGAGAGGCAGCCGTGATGGTAGCAGCTTCGAGCTCCCCTGGCGTGTTTGAGGCTTCGGCATCATCTCCAATAGCACCGCCGGTACCGGCCTCGACGCCAGGCACCGGGTCAGGGTACCGCATGCTCGACACTAAGGAGACCAGGTCGGCACGCTAGTTACAGTCAGCACACTACCACACTGCTGGTTTGAGTCGCACGTGGACACCCCTTGAAATCGGATCAACCTAAATTCTTGACTCGACTCTGCCAAACGCACACACCCTCCCACCTGCACATGGGTAAATCACGTAGAGTTTCTCATCATCAGCATTAGTTTGTTGAGCACCCGAGCACTGAGAGTGCCCGCACTTACGCTACATAGGACTTGCCCCATCCGTCTCCAAACCAACTCTTAGTCTTGGTGAATGGACAAACGGCGAAGGCATGTGCCAAATGGTTTATATTTGACCCCCCGACGTGGTTCATCTCCGCTGCGTCTTCCAGCGCCTCGTGGAATTCGTTGCCGGAGATGTGGGACTTCTTGGCGGGAGAGTGCGGAGACTTGACCGCCATCGTAGACCCCGTACACCCCCCCGACATGCCGGACGGAAAGCGGCCACCCAAGGGATCAGAGACACGACTCACGTACTCGGAGATGCGGACGAGCATCGGGTCGATGGCGGCCGCGCTTATCGGCTTGGGATTGGAGAAACAGGTACGGCCGGGGGGGGCAGGGTAGCCTGCGTGCTTGGTCACCGCGACATGCGAAGGTTGGGGTTGGGGTTGGGGCTACCCGGTCGTATCCCAGTTGCTGTAGTCTCTAGTCTCTAGTCTCTAATCTCTAGTTTCTAATCTCTAGTCTCGAGGGTTAGGGTTAGGTTTAGTTTTAATCATTTGGTCTCATTCTTGCGAGGAAAAGGCTACAGCTGCTCCTCATTACAAGTACGCTTCTGTCCCATTTTGTTTCGCTTTCAAGTGGTTATGGTGGTGGAGGGTGGAGGGTGGGGCGGGGGAGCGGAAACAGAAGCCGGGAGCCGAGAGAAATGTTGTAACGGCATGCACCGATTGTGCGCTGCAAGCAACATGGGAGTATTCGGATGGCTGCAACTCATCGCGATAACATCCCTGTCAACAATTCCTTATCACTATGCACGCAGCAACCAATGTTGATCCTTGTTGATTTTGTCCTTTTAGCGTTGCCGCACTGAACCCCGAGATGAGTTGCCGCGGCGCAAGCAAGTACAGCTGTGCTCTTCTCAGACATGTAGGCGATAGCCATGTCGCCGCGCTACAGCAGCGCATGGGGAACTAGACCAGCATAGCACCCCTGACATGATCATCCTGTCCGCCCCGTTCCGACACAACAAGCAGTGCGAGGCATACGATACTACTATGTATTGTAGTGGGCGGAATCCAGAGTTTGTCGCTCTTACTGCTGACTACACAACGTGGTACTGTACCCATCTTTGTTTTGCCCTCATTGGGCTTATTGTACAGCAATCGTCTCCGCCATTGCATCACGTGCCCCCCACCTTGACTTGATCGTTTCTCTACAGGACTGTGTTTCGGTGTTTTCCGAGAACAGCTACCGATGGCTCATCGCGGAGCAGGGGATCATGAAAGCCGGAGGGTGTAACGCTGTCAGGGGCGCGACGGCTCCGGTGGCCGAGCTCAGGTGTATTTCGTTAGTTCATTTTCTTTCATTTTGCTTTGCTTTGCTTTGCTTTGCTTTGCTTTGCTTTGCTTTGCTTTCGATTCCCAGAGAAGTACACAGCAGCTAAGGGTTGGGTGCACGGCAGCAGCAGCAGCAGTCGGGGAGCAAAAGGAACTGGGCGAATGATAGCCTGGGCCCAACCTATATGTTCTTCGTTTTTGAAGTTCCGTTTTTCTTGGTGCATGGCACGTCTTGCGTCCGTTCTACTTCTACATATTAGTCGGCAGTGGGGGGGGGGTCGCACCGTGCCATTTACGTTCATATTGTATCATACCATACCATCCCATACATCCCTGTTTTTTTCCCGTGGAACGTGCGTCTTTCTCAAAGCCATCCAGTCTAAACCCATCCCCAGGACGTGGCCAATGAATGCATATGCATAAGTTGGTCTTCCTTCGCCTTTTGGTGCTTCTGTTCATAGCACGGTGATGCTGCTGGGGAAAGGGTCGGTGGCTGTATCGTCCTTGATGGCGTTAAGAACAGTAGCCTTGGATGGTGCACACAACAGCTTTGTTTGTAGCTTTGTTGGTGTTTTTGTTAGTGATTTCACGTTGGTGGTCTGTTTTGGTTTGCTGTCGTTTGCTTTGTCGCGTACGGTAGTATGGCATGCATGTTGTCCAGGAGTCTTGGGTTTAATTGGCTTCCTTCGGGCGATTTCGTGTTGTCGTCGGCCGAACGGTGCACCTACCAAGACGTGTTGAGATCGCTCAACACTAACTATTTTTCTTAAACCCACGGGTGGGGGGTGTTGTATGGTACCATGTTTGTACATATTTGTCATGTGCACCTCTCTTGCAGCGGTATGAGGACAGATGAAGAGAACGTGGCACTGATCGGAAACGCACGCACGACACAAAACATCCATCCACAAGGTAGACTTTCGCCGAGACGTGAACATTATGCGTATTTGGATGACTGGATGAATGTGCAGCTTTTGCCACGCCTCTTCCCTGCCACCCCATCGCTTTGAAGGTATATCTACGGTGACAGTGAGTCCGTCGGTGCTGTGGTGGAGACGCCAAAGCTTTTGAAGCTCTTGGTGGAGGAGGGCGGCAAGGGGTTGGAAGGAGCTGATGGGGTGAGTGAGAGTGAGGGAGAAACAGGAATTGTACAAGTATGCATACGAAAAATGACGTATGTTGCTTCGAGAGAGAAAATGTACGTTATGATGGTATGGCGGGTAGGCGGACAAGGAACCAGGCCATACGTTTTCCTCTCCTTTCCTTCCTGGTTTGTACTGCTCACAATACCCCAGGTAAGCTGCTGTATTGTATTGATGAATCGTTCGTGACGCGTTGCGTGCTCTGGGTCATCATTTCCGCTTCTTGTTCCAAGTTCTGTATGCATATATGTTGTTGCCCAGCTTTTGTTTTTTTCTGTGTGTTTGTCGTGTTTGTTTGTTCTGGTTGGTCCTTCTTGTAGCGATTCGATGCGATTCACCTCTCACCTCTCCTGCCATGGTATGCTCACCTTCATCACCTTGACCTTGACCTTGACCCTTGTGCTGCCTCGTGTGAGATGGGATGCACGTACATTCCATTTCCTTTCGAGCCTTGCCTACCTCCCACAATACAATACTGACTGACGGCCATCTTTTGCCCATGGGTCCTTCGTCGTTGTCCTTTGGGATACCAGGCGGAGCCCCGGTTTTTGATGGTACTGTTTCCCGGAGGCAAGAACGGCAAGGAACTGCAGGAGTCCCTCAACATTCCCGAGTCCATCAAGGTACGTGCTAATGTATACACGCGTGCCACGGTGCATGCAAACCCCACTGCCGTTTCGCAATGCAGTTTGTAGCGTTCTGCGGTCACTGCCTCTCTCCTGGTCTTTGTCGGTCCAACTGGCTGCCGCTGCTCTTGCGGTATTCGCGCGTCCCGGTGCTCGATGCAGCGGTGACGGTAGGTAGGAAGGAGATTGATTTTTTGGGGTGAAAGTTTTTTTGCCGGTGTGGATGCGCGAGTCACGCTTCCGAGCTATGTTACATACTCCTAGCAAGACTTGTAACATGTCTGTGCATCATCTACGTATGCATTCCTACTGATGAGAATGGGGGTAGCAGAGAGGATATATGTACCTCGAAGTATTACTGCTGTTACTACAGTACAACTATTTCCAAAGTGCCGAGCATGCCTGTCTGTCTCGTCGCACGACACGATCGCAACAGCCACGACCATCACCATCGCCATCGCCATCGCCATCGCCATCGCCATCGCCATCGCCATCACCTTCACCTTCACCGCTTCATTGCCCTTCGTGTATTGTCATCATCCCTCCATTCCATTTGGCGCCATGGCCTCAATTCGTTTGCATGTGTTTTCATTTATTTTGGTTGATGTCATGTCCAGGTAGTAACCTTCTCGGAGTGCTTGGACAAGGGAGGCGTGTTGGACGCTGCTCCTGTAGTGGAGCGATCGATGAAGGCCACGTTGGTGTACACCTCCGGCACTACGGGAAAGCCGAAGGGGGCCGTCTTGACACACGCTAACCTGCTGCACCAGGTGGGTATGTACACCACGGTGACATGACGTGACGTCACTGCTACTGCTACTGCTGTACCGTACTACTGCTGTGCATGTGCTGTGCTTGCCGTTCACGATCACACCGACGCCGGTTTCGATTCGTCCCGTTGCGGGTGTTATCGCCTACTGTTCGTCTTGCCTTTCGCAACGTGTTATTTCGTGTGGTTACAGTACCGCCTGCTGTCCATGGGTAGTGATGTCACCGAATAAAATACTTCCAAGTACATTTGTAGCAGTGATGACGATAGTTTTTGCCACAGGATGGGAGGCCAAAAGGTGAGAGAGGAGAGGGGAGTGAGTGGGTCGGAGGTTGTTTGCGGTGAATGAGAGAAAGGGAATGGGGATGTCAGGTCGTGGGCGGTCACATTGTCGTGGTAGTGGTGGTGAGATGAGACTACAGTAGGTCGTGGTTAGCCGATGGGGAGGAAAGTAAGGGAAGACAGGTCAGTCATCCCAAGAGGATACTGCTGCTGGGATCTCGTCCGTTATGCTGACAATGCCGGTAACAATAGCTCGTGATGAGATGTGACATGATGAGATGCGACATGATGTGGTGTGACATGATGTGGCGTGATGTGGCGACAACCCGTGCAGGTTTCGCAAAACTCTTTCGACCGGTCAGAGGGGAGCCCGATGAATCCGTGGGTGGGGGACGTGTTCGTGTCCATCTTGCCTTGTTGGCACATCTTCGAGCGGACCGCAGAGTACTTCACGCTCACACGAGGCGTCACCATGGTCAGTTACAGCAGTGTGTCATTCTCTATTTGATGGGGGGCATTTGCTTTCTGTTTTATGCAGTATACACCACACCTTTCGGTCTTACAATACCATGGTACAACGTGTACTGGAGAGCAAAGGGCTTTGTGTTACATTAATTGTACGAATGCAGTGTGACGTCATTGATTGTGTAGCTTGGTGCTGAAGGGGTCTGTAATGGTGAGAAAGACGTTACTGCTGTAGACGTCCGAAGGCAACAGCGTGTTTTGTGCTGTGCATACACCTGTTGTGCTTGTGCTCTTTTTGGTCTTGATGGTGAGCATTTTGTGGTGATCGGCCTGTTTTGAGTCACCGACTGCAATATGGCAAGTGCACGGTTGCGGTGAAAAAATGTTCCCCGGTCGTTCGTCGTTGCTGTACTCGGACATCCCCTGAGCACAATGGCCCATGGTGACAGCAGTAGCAGTACAAGGCAACCCCTAGGTGAAGAATTTGTTGGCCGCAAAGGCTAGAAACGCGAGTTTCGTGTATTTGAAACTGGCAGTGCTCCACATGTGTTTTGAGAGAGGTGTCTCATGAGCGAATGAGTGAAGTAGTGAATTAATGAGTTTTTTTACCAAGGTGAGGAAGTCATGGGTACCATTATCACTACCACTACTACTACTACCCCCCCCCCCCCCCCCCCTAGGCCGTTTCTCACGCTTACCAAATGGAACAATGAAATGATGGAAACGACAGGGGTACTCGAACGTCCGCAACTTCAAGAGCGACCTGAAGAAGTTTAAGCCTCACTTCCTGATCGTCGTACCGCGGCTGCTGGAGACGATCTGGAAGGCGAGCACCAGGAGGGGGGGGGCGGGAGAGGGGGGCTGTACTCATTGTACTCATAGCGGTGCTTTCCGTAGTCGTTAGAGATTGGAGGACGGGGGACGGTGGCACCGATGCGTAGGGCTAAAGTATTTAGTCACTACTGATGCATGATCGCGCATTCCGTTTGAGATGCGGCAACGGGGGTCGATATTTTGCATGCGTTAGCGGTTAGGCCATTGACCACGCGTCCTGGAGAGGACGGGGCATTGGTCCCACTGGACCGATCGCCGATGGCCAGCTATTCCTTCCTACTCTGCCAAAGGTGGCTCGAAAACTTTTTCCCTGTCCTATCCATCCTATCGTTATCACTTCCCGCCTTTTCAGACCACGTACTATTCCCTAGCATGGAAGCGACAGAGGGGGGTGTCTTTCTGAGTGATGGCATGCATGCAACATACGTCCTGCCTGGGTGTTCTCTTCGTTGAGAAGGCCTTGTTTCGTGCTTCGTGTTTGGATGAGAGGGTTGCTGTTTATTGGTCAATGCTATGGTATTTGCATATGCCCCCCTGAGATACTGCACTCTGCCGGATAGCCGCAGGCTTGAGGAACCGTGTGCGCTCAGACGTTTTTTTTTCGCTCAATGTCCAATTCCCAGCCTTTTGTGTAGGCACGCCCTCCCGATCCCCCTCCCCCGTGCCTACATCCGACCACAAAACAGCAGTTAAATTATGTTAACCCTTCTTTGAACTCTTGAACCACCTTCCCCGACATGAAAACCCAGACTGAAATGTTGCGGAATCCCAACAAGACATATCTGTGCATACATACCCTGAAATGCGGACAACCCGTCCGTCCGTTTCACACCCGGCGAACGCCTGCTGCGCAGGGAGTGCAAACCCAGCTTGAGGCCAAGAGCAAGGGAGCGCAGAAAGCGGCGGGGGCTCTAACTAGAGTTTCCAGCCTGCGCATGAAGGCCGCCAGAAGATTCAGCGGGACTGTCATTCGGGATAGCAAACCAAAAGGCCCAGAAAAGGTACAGTACAGTAGTACGCACATGTAAGGTACAGCAGACAAGGCATGAAAGCATGTAAGGTGCAGCAGACAAGGCATGAAAGCATGAACGGTACAGCAGACAAGGCATGAAAGCATGAAAGTTTAGGTGTTATGTGTTAGGGTTAGAACGATTAGAGTGTTGTATTATAGGTGTATCAGCGTTAGCGATAACCGTGAACGTGTATAACGCTGGCCCAGAATATTCGAACAATGCAATGGAAACTTGGACACGATCAGTGCATGATGTTGTGTGTTGAGTTGGGGTGCTCACTCTCACTCTCACGCGTCTGGTGTAAAACATGAGCTATGTGCACTACGATGATAAAATACAAGGGTCCATACGTTTTCACGGCTCACGCACTTGTACAATGCAAGGTTGCTACTTGTCCCAACCGACCTGTCTGTCTGTTGCATCCACCCCTCTCCATCACCCGACGGCAGTCTGTTCCTCCCTGCCTCTCTGCCACTCTTGCCCGTCTGACACATACGAAGAAAAAAGATATGCGCAGTTGGTTGTTGTTGATACTGTTCAATATTGATATCAAGCCGAGAGGTGTAGACAGCGATGAGGCTACAGTAACATGGGATTTTTCTCTGTTGTCATGCTGTCGGCCTGTTTGATGGTCATCACCGTCGTCATCGCGGCAGGCGTTATCGGCGGTGCTTATGGGCGTCACGCTGCCCCTAAAGCTAGCCGCGGAGAAGCTGGTGTGGGGAAAGATCAGGGACGGGGTTGGCGGCCGGGTGAAGGTCGTGGTGTCTGGGGGCAGCAGCCTTCCGTCTTTCCTGGAAGACTTCTTCGAGATGGCTGGAGTCAGGTGTGTGCTTTTGTATGTGGGTGTGTGCCGTGTGTGCGATGAGATGTATCCCGTTATCCCAACATCTTGTACCTCGCTTGCAACGAGCGTGTGTGTGTCCTTGCGATATTTCTATGCATATGTAGGTTGCTATCTTCGAGTGGAAAATATGAAAATATGGCAATGAAGAAACGGCGAGCGAAACAAAACGCCTTCCTTCCTTTTTCTCTTGTCGTGGTTGTCGTGGTTGCTGTATATCTGTGTGCTCTTGTCGCGGGTGGGTTCTGCCATGAACATGTAGGCCCTCTGCGCTGACTGACCGGGTGGCGAAAGAAGGGGCACCAGCGTTAGAATGACACACCAGTCTTAGACACCAGTCTTAGACGCCAGTCTTAGCGAAAGAAGTGAATGTCATCCGGCCTCTTCACCATGATGAGGGGACGCCTGTCGTGGGGAAGGTGGACAGAGCCAAGCCGCGGATTCAGATCACAATCAACCTCGCCTGAGATAACTATGATATTACTCTTCCATGCGTTTTTCTTCGCTCTCTTTTCGGATAAAAGTCAACGGCCTAACGTTTTTGGTGGTGAGTGACGATGCTGGTTCTGGTGTATCCGCGTCCTTTTCGTACCATCACTCCTCCTCGTAAGAACAGTTTTCGGTATCACGATTTACGAGCAGTGTTCGGCACCACGCTTAAGATTCACAGAAGAAGAACATCGTTGCTCTGTCTTTGCCGTTGCCTTGCTTACTTGTTTATGATGACATGGTGACGTGGTGACATTACAGGGTGCTGGTGGGATACGGCCTGACGGAGACTTCGCCCGTCATCGCAAATCGCGTCGCGACTGAGAATACCAAGGGTACCACTGGAAAACCCGTTCCTGGATCGGAGGTCAAGATCGCTGATCAGGAGACTGGCCAGCAGGTGTGATGTGGAGATGAAACAACGGGATAACGCGATACCATGTACTGCGTAGCCACCTGTGGCCATCATCACTGTCAACAAGTGTTGCTGTTGCCAAAGAAGTGCTGAAGAATGGTATTCAAGTGCTGCTGTTCGTTATTGAATCTGTCCCAGTTGAGTGTTTGGTTTTCCCATCGTTTTATCTAGACCATGATACAACCAATGTTGGCGTCCTTGATTCGACATGGAGCGTGAAAATCGCTCTTTACGTTTGTGACTTAGCCACTCACTGTGGCCAAACAAACGAGGCGACGTTTCCGGTTCAACATCGCTACTTCACCGCTCTTCTTGTTCGCCTTATGGCCAACATTATTCGAGCCTCGCTCACTCGCATAGGCATATACATACCCCTCCGCGAAACTGGAACGCGTTCGTTACAACAGGTGGCTGTGGGACAGACGGGAAAAATCCTCATCAGGGGACCGCAAGTGATGTCCGGGTATCAAAACAACCCAGAGGCTACGGCGGCTGTTATCGACAAGGATGGATACTTCGACACCGGTGCGTTGCGTATTGTTATACTGTTGTTTCATTGTTTTCTGTTCGACTATGTGTTTTGTGTTGTAGCTGATACATGTAGGCATCGGCAAACCAGTAAGCTGTGAAAGTGAATGTTTGCCTATGGTCTTAACTCGTGTCCCGCTCGGCTTGTGCTTCGCAAACTGTTGGTGGGCACGGCCATGTTGTAGATGCTACTGCTGCACCACGATATCATGGTTTCTCCTCTGTACGAAGAGGAGGCATGCACAGCGCTGTAAAAACAGCGGACTTGGTCCTCACGGATTCCACTATTAGTGCCTATCTGCTTCCGGCGAGTTGTCATGCCATGTCATGTCATGCCCCGGGACGTGAAAACCGAGTAAAAAGAATAGCATTAAATTGGTATGGTGGGCCCTTGATCGTTTTTTGAGTGGTTGGTATCATGCACCAGACCAGCGATGCTGTGCTTGTCGATGCTCGTCGTTACCAACCTATCGTACTGTAGGTGACTTAGGGCGGTTCAACCCTATCACGGGAGACCTGATCGTGACTGGGCGAGCAAAAGACACGATCGTCCTGAGCAATGGCGAGAACGTTGAGCCCCAACCACTAGAGGTGAGAGTCTCATGTTTGCTGAAAGGTTACTTTTGTGTTCGTTACACTTTGGGATGTTTTGGTTGGTTCGGCTTATCTCGCTCGGGCAGCAGTGGGTCTTTTGTCACGCTTTTGTTCTGCCCGGCACGCAGGACGCTCGTCGGTACATGACCGTGAGTGCGCGAAGCTCGCTAGGCATCCATTGCACCGCGTGTCCTAGACGCGTTGAGTGGCGGGGGCTGGCTTTTTCGTCAAGTGTTCCGCGAAGTGAAAGCCATTTCAGCCAATGTTAAAACCCGATAAATTTGAAATTTTCCCCGTCTCGGGGTACCAGCCCCAAGAACTAAACAGACGTGACTGGGCAAGAAAATCTCGCATTCTCGTTTCGAACATGTCTGCCGCTAGCAACCTACACCTGACGCAGATGAAGATGAGCACATGCACCCACAATCGAACCTCCTTCTTTCCTTCCCCTGCTGCGTCTTCGGAGCTTGCGCCCTCGCGTCTGCATGGTGTACAAGTATCAGGTTCGTTCAACATCGCCGCTACCGTATCTGTCGTCGCCTGCTTACCGTCCGTCCTTTGCAAACGATACGCCTCGTCGTTTTGCTCTTGTGGGCATTGCAGGACGCTATCTCGGGTGCGTGTTCCCTGATCGACCAAGTGATGCTGTTCGGGCAGGATGAACGTTTCCTTGGGGCGATAGTCTGCCTCAACCCTTTGAACATGGGGGCTGCCGGCATCATTTCGCAGGTGACGTTGTTGAGGGTTTTGAGGGTTTTGAGGGCGGTGGCTTAAGTGAAGACTCTTTGACGGTGTTGTTTCGCGCCGTGTGCCGTGCGTCCAAATGGCTGCACCTGCGTCCTTGTTTGTTCCATTTTTTGTCACTCCGTAATCCTCGTGTTGGTCAGAACCACCGCGTCACTCCCTCCCTCAAGCGTCATCGAAAAATGTTCCAGGTGAAGCTCGTCTGTGCATGCCCTTGACTGATCACCCGTGCCCTCTTCCCTCTGCGCTCTTTCGGCGCCGTTCAGGAGGATGCAAGTCGCTATTCTGGGCTGCTCGGTCCGACGCCGCTAACAACTGGACCGGCTGGCACCCCTAAGGAGCTCGCAGATGCAGAGAAGGTCGTGAAGTGTTTGACAAAAGCTGCCAACGTCACGGGTTGTCTTTGCGCAAATCGTTTTGTACGTGGCGTTACATGCTACGGATGTGGATAGCAGTGACGTCGTCTTACAAGGATTGGGGTGAACAACAGTGCCCTGTCTTGTACCCAGGTCCCATGTGCTTCTGGAGTAGTTACACCTTGGGCTGGTCATGGTTAGTGCAGGTGGTATGTATGCATGAGACTGGTCAAGTGCTGTTAGTGAACAAAAGATTTTTGTTTCGGGTCATTGCTGTCTGTCGTTGGATCGTTGGATCCATCCACTTGTCACTTTGATTCTCTCGTAGAACTTTTGAGTTCGGAAGGACCGCACGAAGCTAAATGCTGCGTGCTTTTCGTGGAACGGTGGCGGTTGCTGTACCTGTATGGTCCTGCTGTAGATTTGATATATTGTAATTTCCGTTAAGCGTATTCTTTCAATGGTCTGAAAGTCATTGGACTTATGCATACATCAGCTAAGCTTGAATTCCTTCCTTCTGTTTGACCGACTCTTTAGTATTACAAGAAGGGTTACTGTGGAAAAGAGGGTTTCGTCCTCGACAGAAGTTGGGGAGATTGTACCTTTATCAAGGTGGTCTCCACATTACATGCAAGTCAAATACGCGCGTCTAGTCTGCACTATGTACGGGCTCTGCTTGTTGATTCCCTTGAAACCGCTGCCGAACGAACTTCTCAACAGGAGATTTTGGGCGCCCCTGGTCTTGAAAGGGCCGTCATGGACCAGCTGAAGGCGGTAGCCGGGGAAGAACGTCCTTGGGAACAGGTACGAGCACGAGGAATGAGGACACCATTGCCATTGCCCACGATGTTACTGTCGTGGAGAGTGTCGCATGACAGACAGCAGATGAGACGAACGGAATGAACAACAAGAGTTGTAAGTATGACAGATACTGTATGACCACCGTTTTGATTGGTACCTTGGTGCGTTTTGAAAGGGCTCATTTAGCACCACCAGCAGCAGCAGCAGCAGTTTGTGAGTGAGCGGTGTGATGTCATAAATAGTCAATTACATAGCATCAAGTGGTGATGTCATAAATACCATACCAATTACATGGATTGAGCTCTCGATATAACATGGCCCCGTCACTCGACGGCTGACCGCATTGTGTCGCAAGTCTCTCTCAAGCCACAGTGACATGCTTTGACCTGGTAGTGGCCACTGTTTTGCACCACGCCTTCCTACCGGTACCCGAACTATCCTGCCGCAGGTCGGCAGCGTGATCATGAAGTTCGAGCCCTTCACGACGTCCAACGGGCTCATCACGCAGACGCTCAAGACCAAGAGGAACGTGGTTGCGGAGAGGTTCAGCAAGGAGATCGATGCCCTTTACGCTGCGAAACGTTGATTGATTGATTCGACTCGGTTCGGTTCGACTGGACGCCACCAGTAGCACAATGGCGTCGGAGGCAGGACATGACCTCTCTCTTCTTGTAATTTTAGTTGAAGGAACCGTGGCTGAATCATCGAGCCGCACGGCCAGGCTGCTCCTTCCGCTGGGGGGGCGAAAAGACTCAGACCGCGAAACAGGGCGAATTCGAACGATGTTGTGGTAGCGGCAGCGTTCCGATGATTTTTTGTTTTGTTTTTTGTAATTTGTTTCAAGTGCGAGGTCTGTCTTTGACCGGTGCAATGTATGCGTTTTTTTTTGCTGCGAGTTGCAAAGCAGTACAGTTGTAGAATTAGAGGTCCTCAGCACATTAGTAAGACTTTTCCCTTTTCCGGTGTTGTTTGCTAACCCTAGAGCATATCAATGTCCTTAGACGCCCCGTGGCATTGCGTGATGCGTTCGTTTCGTTTCGTTTGGGTTTTTGCTTTGCTTTGAGGGAAGGGGCCCTCCTGAGGGACATGACTACAAGTATCCTTGTTCACAAACGCACCATTTCGTCTTCTTTTTCTTGTGTCCAGGCAATCAACGCAGTTGCCTTCGTCATTTTCCTGAGGATTCTTACCGAGAGTATCCGAGCGGGGGTACATGGTAACAACCATGCAGCGCTAATCAGGTCGCCCCGGTGGTCTAGTTGGTATCCTCGAAACCTTGTAGAGGTCAGGTCAGGGGTTCCAATCCCGGCGTAAGCGAGCTTTTCTTGCAAAGTGAGTTTTAGTTTTTCTCTCGCTTCTGCTCTTGGCCTAGTGGATAGCGCTAGTTCGTGTGCACACAGAGGGAAGAGAGTACTGAACTCTTCTCGCATTAAAAATCGAAGGGAACGTACCGCAGGAGGGGAGGGTAGAGAGGGGCTATTCTGTGAGACCACGGGTTGGAGTAAACGGCACTAGTGCTGTTAGCCCTGATTTGAAGTGAAGACAAAAAAAAAAAAAAACAGCTGCAACTATGGGGAGGCCATGCCTTGTACACTGGACGTTTTTTTTTTTTTAGCCACACCCTGGCCTCCAGGTGTGAGCACGACACTACACTACAAACAAACATGACGTCGCTAGATCTCAGGGCTTTGTTCTGCCATGGAGACTGCTGAGGGAGCACAGGGATATCTGAGGGTCTCCTCGTATGCGGGCTTTCTTTCTACGGTAGGTTGTGACGTTATGGTCGTGCCATCTGTCCTAGGACGAAACTCGGGGATGGATGTGTCTCCCTTGCACACCGGCAAACCACATCATTTATCTGTGACCATTGAGTGGTATGCATAGACGTTTCGACCACATGGAAACCGAACGTTTTTGAACCCGCTCTGGTCGTTTTTAGTTGCTCCGTACCATTACCATTCAACGGGCATTGATGCCTCGTCCTGACAGAGCGCGAACGGGAACAACGTACGTATGTAAAGAATAGAGATCGTTAAAAAGGGCGATTACAACACTTCACGTACGTACGTACTTGCACCTCCGGCGAGATAGATCAGTACAATACAAATGCTTGATGCACCAAGCACAACCGTACGCACCAAGTAAGGTCAGTAAACGACGAGCAAGTCACACACCTCACTACACATCACATGCAGCAACAGCAACCAATATATCGCCAAGGGCAAGCAAGTGAAACTATGGAACCACCAGCAGTGCTTTCACGGCCCCGTAATCATGCAACCAACCCAACTCCTTCAGAACAACAAATCAACCATGCAATAGTCGACTCGTACCCCACTGCTGCGTTCGGTGTCATGTCACAGACACCGACCTCGCAGGAAAAAGGTCAACAAAGCAACAGAGTTAAAGAACGGCAGTACATGCAAGGTGCCTTGTACCAAATCATGCACAGGGCAACATCGCCTGTCAATAGTAACTAAATACCAAGTAGATAACAGCAACGGTCAGTTCGAGCAAGGAACTTGGCCAGACCGAAACAACACAAAACAGAACCCCCGCACATTTTTCGCGAGCTAGTGGAAACACAGAAAACAAAAAAAAGATGCACGTGATGGAGGGCACACGCAGACTGCACACGCCATGGCCAGTACTCTCGTCGAGTTGAGTTGGCCAATGGGCCAGCATCAATCATAATCATGCCTCTGCATTCACCGGCAAAACGAAAAAAAAGGTGCAACATCGTCCCAACATAACTCCACCAATCAATCTGTACACACACATCACGCTCACGGCTGGCTGCCCAGGACCATTCATAATACCACCAATCAATGCGCCGGCGTCTTACCGCGGCCCGATCAAATCCCACTATCAAAATATCCCAGTACCCCAACCCATTTACAGGACAAAAGGCATACAATATCTCAACATGCTGTAGTGCGCCAAGCTTACCGACGCAATCCAGCAATCCCCCTGCAAGCAACCCTCCCCGCGCCTCAAGTATTGGTTCAAAACTAAAAGGTACCCGGCTGGCCGACCCACCAGCTCCCAAGACAATCAATCATATGCATACGCTTGAGTTCACCAAAAAGGAGGGGATATCCAGCAATACGAGTGGCTCGCCTTTCAATCCCCGGCTTTTGCCAAAGACAAGAGTCTACCGAAATACACACAAGTCTCCCGTATCTCCACATATCCACACATCAAAATTCTATCCGCAGCATCTTCCCCTCTTTCTCCATCTATACTTCTTGTCTGCGTGCCCACTCTGCGACCCAAGGAATAAACGTCGCGTCCTCCGCTGACCGTCTGGGCTTAAAAAAGACCAACTACTCTAAACCAACGCTATAATAATATTGCTCATTAAAACTATACCAAAATAACGGTAATAAAGACTCCCAAGCAACCAAACAAAGGCTGTGCACACAGATACCAAACTCAACACGGCAGTTAGTTTTTGTTTTTGTTTTCCCACCTCCACCTCTCTCTCCGTCCGGAGGTAAATTATGAGAGCGCTACCCGATGGTTTCCCGGTTGACTGCTTCAGTCTCAGGAGGCCTTGTGTTACACTAGCAAACGTTATTCATCTAATTCCTCAGCGCCCCCCCCCCCCCCCCCCATAACAAGTCCCCCCCCCCGCCCCCCCAAAAAACCCCCATGGAACAATCCCTCCGTCTCCCTTCCTGGGCCAACTCCTTTTATTTCCACAAAAACCCACCCCACCATATCTTCTATAAATGAAACAACAAACCCCCCCACAAAGGAAACCCCCGCCTCTCCTCCCTCAAACTAACCACTTTTCTCCCCCGGCGCTCTCCCCCCAACCCCACCCAAAAGGGT